AAACTGACAAGCATTTTCAACAACAGTTCGTATGTATGGGTTATTGTTTTCAGTGTTTTATTTAAGCTTCATAAAAGTTCTATAAGCTGACTATTATTTTCCTCTTTTATACATGAGAAAACTAAACATGAAGAGTTAGGTAACTCCCAAGTCTAGTAGCTGATCCAGAGGTCAAATCTGGGTAATTTAATTTCAAAAGATTCGCCTTTAGCACTCTACTGCTATATTTGCTTCCTACTGCTACTTGACAAATTGTCATAGGCCCAGTCATTTAAAACAACACAAATTTATTATCTGATGCTTTGGAGATCATAAGTCCAAGGTAGGATTCAGCAGCCACAATCAGTGCCAACAGGCTGAGTGTCTTTCTGGAGACTCTAAAGGTGAACTTTTTCTTCTGCCTTTTCTACCTCCTGGTGGCTACCCACATTCCTCAGTCCATGACACTCTTCTAGATAGTTTCGTTGTTTAGTGCATCCTTCACTATATAATCTAATACACTCCAGGGTTCATGGAATCAGAACCTAAGTAGCATGAGTGAGTGGGCACGTTTTACTTATCGTAAGTACCCAAGTCCTGTTAGGCTTAGAAACACTTTCTGAACACTTGCGATGTACCAGGGGCTATGCGGGATGCTGGGGTATAAACAAAGATAAGACACAATTTGTTTTTACCACGTGACATTCATGTAGTGTTTTAAGTGATAATACTGAGTTACTGTCAGAAACTATGTTTTTTCTGACAATGTGAGTAAACTCCCTAAAGAAACTTACTATTATATTCAATCGTAGTTAATTTCTTGATTATGTCCAAAATCAAGTTCCTTGAGCACTAAACTTCATGGAAATCAAGCAGGTGTCTCACTGTTTCCTGTATTATGTAAGTTAATGAGTTGAAAGAAAAGTCATCAGTTTTAGCACACTGTTTTGTATTTTACCATTTCATGTTATACTGTTTATAGTTCTTAGTATCAGTAAAGAGGTAAAGCAAACAATATTGTATTTGAACATAATAAGAAGACCATGGAAAACTGTATCTCACAGAAAATGTAATTCTATTACAAAGCTGTACATATTCATGCATCAAAAGAAAGAGATTTAGAGCATTATTGAATCATTCAAGTCCCCAAATACACTTCTGAGTTAATCACAGATGTGAGATGGAGTTGATTTAAATTATAGACAATTGACTTCTATTGTTTTAATGATTACCAGGCAATCATTTATTTTGCCTTGTGGATGTTTTGTGTAGTTCTTTTGTCTTCCCATTAGATTATATGCCATTTAAACACCTCAAACTGGTACTTAAACTTACCCTTCATACTCCATGAAAGAGCATCATACTAACAGGAAGTGCATGTTGAATATTTATTGAATGTTAATCGCTATTAGAACTCAGCTCTCAAATCTACTTCCCCCAATTTTGTCGATGCAGAAGGCAAATTGAGAGAGCACAATTTCCTTGGACAGAAAGCCAGCAGAAAGATGGGTAGGTGGTGAGTAGTCTGACAAAGGAGATGCCTTTTCCCCTTGGTGTTATAGAGACGCTCAGCAGCATTTCAGACAAAAGTCAGCAGTGGCCAAGCCAAGAACCAGAGCTGAAGGCTGATGAGAAGCCTGGAAATTAGTGAAAGAGATGTATGTGCAGTTGTTTAATTTAGTTGCTCACTACCATTGTGTGCAGGAACAATGATGCATTTGGAGATCTAGAAACACAGATAACAAGGGCTAATCAGTGTTGTTGGAAATTAAATGTGAAAAGTTGAGTAAATAAGGCCGGCTAATTGGATGGCCTAAGAATATTCTTGCTATGCATTTGCACTATTTTTGGTAGGACTATCTATGGCAAGCAGGACTGAATCCATTCTGATATTCATTCTCTCCCCAAGTAGCATCCGGTCTTTCTGCAGGACAGAATCTTGCATTTCTAAAAATATTCAGATATTTTGTATCCTGTTAACTTCCTGCAGCATTTTACTTGTGTATCACACTGAGAGGTTGGAAATATCTGAGGTTTTGTGCTTCTTGCTTGTATTTGTAGGCTCTTTAGTTAGGACTGAGCCTCCTTTAATTCCTTGAGTTAGGATAAGAGAACTCCCAGTGCTCAGCAGGTAAGAGCAAGCTCCCTGAGCCCCACAAGATGAATAGATGACTGACTGCTGGACAAGGATTTTCTATCGTTTTCTCCAGCCAGATGATTTTATAGCGCTTGGTGCACTATCTGTTACTGGAAATACTTCTGCTTGGTTTAGGATGTGCAGAAGGGAGACAGAAGGAAAACAGTACCAAGACTGCTGGTTTGCTTTCTTATGTGTTAGTCCTTTTCTTCTTCCCTTAAAAAAATATGCTCAATTAGGCTATGGTGGAGATGCTCCCTACTCTAGCTCTCTGTAAGGGTATAAATTGGTAGTTGTTTCCAGTCTGTCCTTTATTCAGGGGCACATAGCTGTCCCGTGAGGGTACTGACCAGCCTCCTAAGCAATTATCACATGAATAAATTTTGATTCATGAGAAGTGAGTACAAACAATGTACACAAATTCTACATTATTCTTTGAAACAAATTTGCAGGCTCTGAATGCCATCTTTTCCCATTTGCACTGGACAATCATGGTTGGGCTCATGTTGATCCTCATGGTGTAAAGCACCATTGATTGAACAATTCAGAAGCTACTTTCTGGGGATGGTAGAGCTGTTTCAGCAAGTGTGGTCCCTGCACAACATTGAGACAGAGCGTACCCACCCCATTGGACTCTTATAATACTGAGAAATGGGTGTCTGTTTATTTGAATTAGTATATGTTGAGATTTTATTATAGCAGCTTTGACTGAATCCTACTAATACAATGACTGAGAATTAAGTAGGAATCATTCTTCTTAACTGCAAAGCTCTTGCATTTATTACCATTAGACATCTCAAAAGAAATGGAAATGAAATCTTAAGGAACCAATCATTGAGGATTAACTTCAGGAGACTGACTGCTTCTTGAATGTGTAAGAATCAGTGTGTCTGGAGATGTCCAGAGGGACTGTACCACGTATCTATAATAAAACTCCATGTATGTTTTTGAGAAAATACAGGAAACACAAAGGTAAGTTAGGTTCTTTTTTATGAGCTAGATTTTCATTTCAGAGAAGGATGGCAACAACTTCCTAGAATGTAGTCTGGTAAAATGTTTCTAAGCAGTAGAAAAGAAGAGATCAATTCTAAATGTGTTTTTGAAATATGTTTTGGTACTGGTTGTTCAACGGCCATTCAGAGGATCTAATATTTTCTAAGTGTCATCATCTTTGAAGATAAGTTTTTTTGGCAGGGTATAGATTATCATAAGAATGCAAAATAATACATTTGAATGTATTGCCTCATGGGCTCTTAATTTACATTTACTTGCACACATTGTAAAAATAGTCAAGTAGGCTAAGAAATTTTAAAGGATGAAAAGTCAAAGTGATTTTAAACAAACTCAGTTGATTTTGCTTTCTGCTCTTATGTGTCATTAGTGTTTGCATTTTTTCCTGCATGATTATATATTTTAAAATCAGTGTATTAGGCACCACATCCAAAATATTTCTAAGAGTTTCAATCTCTTCCTTCTATGAAAAATGCTCTAAACATAAAATTTCCCATAATCATTGCACAATTATGTTAAGTAAATACCTAGAAATATCTAATATTGTAAGTATTAGCCAAAGGTATCCTTGAGGAGAATTACTTTATTAGAATGATTTAATATAAAAACACCAAGGGAAAGTTCTTAGTATACAGCTCTGCTTCCTGAAATAAGTTCTAATAGAGTTTATTATGCAATTGCATGTTCAAAATGACAGCTTCGTTCTATTTTTTAAAATGTAGATTTCTCTCTGTGTGTAGGTGCTGCAAAGAATTCTGAGAGCTATTTTACTAAAAATAAGTCATCTGTGTCAATAATGAATACTTCTTGCACAATCTTATCGTTTGCACCTGCAAAGGTTCAAGAAGGTAACTTCAGGTGAATTGAAAAACCCTTTTATGTAATTGAAAGTATCATTTATTAACTAAGCTAGGTTCTTCTTAATAAGGTGCTGCCCTTCCAATAACATATTAGGCACCACGATGAGATACAGAAGTGGTGCTTAATACAACACATAGGACTAACAATAGGAATAGCACCCCGATCTACAAGCTCTTCACAGAACTTCACTGGCTATGAATGATTCACCTGTAATAGTTTGCCATTTGTGTGCAGTACTGGTGGACATCCAATGTTTCTCCTCATCTCCATTTTCCCTATGTGCAAATGACTATTGTATGCCATAACCTTCCAACCCTACTCACTGTGGATTAGATTAGCTTTGTTTTTCCCAATCTTCTTAGACTTGTAATTCTCCTGAATTAAATAGCTGCACTTTGGTCTTGGGCCATGATGTTTATCTGCAGAAACCTAACACAGATCATCTAAGAAAATCTAATTTCAGGTTATTCAGTAAGTAAGCTAAGAGCAGAGCAATTCACAGGCTGGTATTGAGGGAAATTGTGTTTCCAGTCCAAAGAGCCAAGATCAAGAAAAGACACTGCCTTTACTTCTTTCAATGTGTTTGTGGAAACAAAAAGGATGATTTAAAAGGAGAAAAACAAAATAGAAACTGGAATAATTTGTGATGAGCTTTGCAACGTTCTCTAATTAATATACATATTTTTGTACATTGCTTTCCATATTAAAAGTCTTGAAGATTTTCACTTGTGAATGCATCAGTAAGATGCTTAAAATGTCTCTACATAGCACTGGTTTTCAGGAACCAGGCACAAGGCAATGATAAAGCAACATTTTAAAATTTCAGGTGACTTAGATTGGCTACAATCCTTTGCTCATGAACTATGAAAGAGTTTGATACACAGCATAGATACTGGGAGACCTTTAGTCTGACACAATGACACAATCAATCATCACAAGAAAAAGAAAGCAGATATTGTAGGGAGGGGTTCATAGAGACTGTAGCAACATGCAGGCATGACTTCAGAGTGTCTTTTTAAAGAATTTTTTATTTTATAGAAAAAATAAGATAAAATTTCAAACTAAAATAATAGGAGAATACCAATAGATAATACATTGTGAATTGTTTTCTTAAAGGTAGTTACTCAGAGTATAAGATACAGGCATAAAAATTTCTCCAAACAATATTAGCACAAATTCTCCCTTTCAGTGAGCTAAGAGACACTAATAGCATAACTCTCTTGAATTTTTCTCCTTCTTCCTTTCTTCCTTTCCCTTTCCCCACCCTAGTTACTCTTTCCTTTTGAACAATTTCTTCCTGATATCTATTGTACATTTTGGTACTTAATTATCCTTTCAGTTTCTCACCCTAGGGAGATAATACAAAGATATTTACACATGTGAGTCTGATTTATTTCACTTGCAAGTATGGTCTCCAGTTGCATCCATTTATCTATAAATGTCTGAAGTTTATTCATCTTTGTGGTGAGTAGTACTACATTGTATAAAAAGACAATATCTTATTTAGAACACATAAAGAATTTTAAAAAAATCAGACCCCACAAACTCAAAGACTCAATCCAAAAATGAGTATCTGAGATAGATGCACATGTCTCAGATCAAGAAATACAAATGGCAAATAAATACATGAAAAATGCTCCATATTACTGATCACTCTAGAGATGCAAATTAAAAACACTGAGATTCGATCTCATTCCAAAAAGAATGTCTGTCATCAAGAAATCAACCAATAGCAAATGCTGGCAGGGCTGTGGAAGAGAAAGGAACCCTTCTCCACTGTTGGTGAGAGTGTAGACTGGTGCAACCACTGTGGAAATTAGTGTGGAGATTCCTCAAAAAACTAAGATTACAGGTTCCATTTGATGCAGCTATTACCCTTCTTGATATCTTCTTGGGAAAATTAAAAATATCACACCAGAGTGATATATGAGTAAGTATGTTTATAGCTGCATGATTTTTAATAGTTAAATCTTGGAGACAATCTAAATTCTCCTTACAAGTGATGCGTAACAAAGTGAATATTTGAAAGGAATCATTACTGCCTTTAGATGGAATCTCATACTCAAACCTTTACCTACTATAATAGTATGGGATGATCATTACATGAGAGTATGTGTTACAAAGACTGTAAAAATAGATTTCTATTTATGGAGCAGTTTTATAGAAATGGTGGTATGACCCGAGATCCCTGGAAGTGGTAATGATCATGTCTGCCAAGTGGCTGACAGGAGATGGATATGGCCCAGTCATGACATCTTACCTTGACAAGATTGGATGGTTGACAGCTACTCTACCTGAGAAATATTTTGTTCCCTAATAGAGATGCATGCTCTAGCTGATCTGGGGTCATTGTGTTTTCCATGGCTTAGCTGGGTTAAGGGTCTGGTCTCTGTTTCACAAAGACCACAACTTGGTCAAATCTCTCTGAACATTGCTCTTGATGCCAGCTCCCCTCTTCATGACTTCAAGAAGTGGCAATGCTGATAATAGTGACACTGATTGCAAGAATAAAAGATATTTTATATTGAGCTCTATGATAGCTCAAATGAATTTCCTTCTGTCTTTGTAGAGGAGAATAAGCCTTAGAAAAATTATGCAAACTGTGACTTCACACAGAGAGAAATAAGCAACAGAGGTATCAGAGTTTCTGCTCTTGATTTTCTCTTCTCTTTGAGGCATAGTCGTTTTACAGACCCAGGCTAATCTCCATACTCATGGGGCTCTCTTTTTGAATTAGTCTTCTAAAGTTCTCATAGGAAATTATCAAAAATCCCAGATATAGATTCTCTCATAGTTGTGGAGGCTGAACATACATATCATGCTATTGGTTAGACTGGTTCCTTCTAGGATCTCTGAGAGAGAATCTTTACCTTTCTTTATTCCTAGCTTCTGTGGATTGCAGGGAATCATTTGCATCTCTTAACTAGCTTCTGAGTCACTCCAGCTCTGGCCTCTGTTGTCACAGAATTTGCTCCCTCTGTGTTTCTGCATCTTTGTGTACACACATGGACATAAGTCACTGGACTAAGGTGCACTCTAAATAGATACAATTTATCTTGATTACTCAAGATTCTATATGAAAATTAGCTCCATTTCATAGGTACAGGCATGAGAGGTTAGAACTACAACATTTTTTGGGTGGGGAGGGGCACGATTCAACCACAACACTTTTATTTTCTGGTGCTGTTTAAATAATTCACTAGTAATTTTCCCCCAGAAAACCCAGTTGTAGAAAATAAATGTTTGTAAGCAATCTTTCCATCTTCCAGGTAATAGAAACATATCTTGAAAAAAGGGTGTGCATAAGGAGACTGTCTTCTTTCTCAGAATGGAAAGCTGAGCACAAAACACAATCAATATATCCAAGCTTTATCCTGACACTGATAGGATGGTATTTTGAGTGATTGCTTAGCACTGCCTTCAGAGTAGCTCAATAAATGATGCTTCCCTCTCCAACCATGCAGCACAGCTAACATAAGAGCTCACGTCAGACGTTTCTTCCTCTGTTTGTTGACAGACAGCATCGTTCATGAGCATGTCACCTTTCCTTGGAAAATGGGTGTTGCACCAACTCCCCATCACTCATGATAAATGATGGGCAGAGCGGAAATGCTTAGAATCAAGGGTCCTCATCACCTCAGCCTAGAGAGTGCTGTAAATGACAAGACTGGAGAGGGGAAAAAAAGTCTGTTAGGCTATTATTTTAAAGAGAGTACAAAATGTCACTTCTAATTGTTGCTAATGCAGTAAAACATAGTCACCAATTAAGGAATCCAAGCAGAAAAGACTCTTTTGGGTCCAGATGGTGAGAGGTAAGGCTATTATGTGTATTGAAACACCATCTGTATTTCTGAGAACACTGACACTGTATTCCAGTATCCAAGGGGAACCTGCGTGGATTTCTGCTTGCTCTAATTGCTGTAGTACCTGAAATGTATTCAGAGACTTCCCCTCTGCACCACATTTCTGATGCCTGCCATGCACCATTTGACATTCTGCAGTGCTGTGCTCTTTGCATGACCCCATCTTTCCCACTGCATCATTTAGCTCCAATATGTTCAGCCGCAAATGCCTTCCAAATCATTCACTTAGTGACCGGGGGCAGAGTTACCTACCACCCACCAGGGAATGAGTCATCATATCATGAAGGCCACAGGAAAAAAAGACATTTGTCAACAGCTTCTGTGTGTTGTAGAAGATGAGTTCAAATGTAGGACATCACACAGATTTACTGGTGCATGATAGATGAGTGAATTTTTGACAAGAAGTGTCAAGCGTTGTCAGAATCTTAAACAATAATGAAAGGGAAAGGTAAATGTTTGTTGTCAAACAGCCTCTGTGGGATCACTGTTTAATAATCAAAGCTGTTCCCTCCACCAGTATTACTCTCTGAGAAATACATAAGGGGAGAGGACTCTTGAGTCACTGAGGCGTATTCTGGGTTTGACCTTTGATCTCACAGCTTTTTTTGGGGACCAGGACTGGCTTAGAAATAATTTTCAAGAGAGGTAATTTAGTTCCAGCTTTCTTACCTTTCTTGACTCCACAAATTAAAATTCATCTTCTCGTCACTGTCTTACCTCTCAAGCTTTAATCAAATGAATCCTCCTTAAAATGACTGTGGAAAAACGGAGGCATACAGGTAAGCAAATGCAAATAAATCATCTCTGATGTTATTGCTAGCATAGCAACTAGATACTACTACAAAGATATTGCAATGGTTTAAATCCCAAATGTGACTGTATCAGATGCTGGTAAAGATACAGAGCAATAGGATTTTTCCATTCATTTCTGATAGAACACAAAACAGTACAGCTACTCTGGAAATCTCTTACAATAGTAAACATAACCTTATCACATGATACAGCAAACATAACCAACGGGCTTGAAACCATAGACTTACAAAACAATCCACACAAAAAAATGTGTATAGTGGCTTTGTTCACTGATTATCAAACCCAGGGGCGATCAGAGCATCACTCAGATGGTGAATAGAGGAACAAATGGTTACACCGTCTAAACATTATCCAGATGATGCAATGTTGCACATTGTTGAAAATGAATGGAGTATTAAGCCATGAAGTGCTTAGAACAACCTTATATGTATGTTGCTAAATGAAAGAAGTTACTCTGCAGAGGCTTCTTACTGTGTGATTCCAGCTCTGGGACATTGTGGGAAAGCTATGTGAGGTAAACTCAGATGAGAGCAGATGAGACCCAGGTGATGACCTGCTGATGGAACCAGATGAACTCAGTAAACTCAATCAAGACTGACTGCAGCTGACTCCTGAACACTTGCATAAGAAAAAAAGTTGTTACTAGTGAACCATCTAGAGATTGTTATGCAACATTACTGCAACAAAAACAATGTAGTATAAAAACCATACTATTAGTTCTCTAGACAGCTACTGAGTGTCCTTTTCACGATCAGTTTTAGATTTACAGAAATACTGTACATACAGTGTAGAGAGTTCTTAAACTGTTCCCACTGTACACATAGCTTCTATCACTAATATCTTGCATTAGTGTAAAATAATTGTTATGATTAGTAGAGAAATATTGACAATTATTAACCAAAATCTAGTTTATATTAAGATTTATACTTTATGTGATATGGCTCTGAAGCTGAGGTCAGCATTGTATTTTTATATGAAATATTTTCATTGCCTTAAAAAACTCCCGTGTTCACTTATTCATTTCTCCTCCTCCCCAAACTTCTGATGACTTCTCTTTTTAGCATTTGTATATTTTAAGTTTCCTAAAAAGAAAATTCTTTTAGTTAAAACAAACTTCCTTGTTTGTGACGCCCTACTACCACAAATGCTTTAGGTTTGTCTTTCTTTCTTTCTTTCTTTCTTTCTTTCTTTCTTCCTTTCTTCCTTTCGGTAATTCTTCTTCATTCTTGTTGAATCACTGTTCAGTATAGAGATAAATCCGGTGATTATCAGCAGTTTTGTGCATAGTGATTGCTTTTTCTTTCTTGTATAACTATACATTTTTTACTTTAATTTTAATTACGCCTTAACAAAAACTGAAATCATCTCAAGACTGAAATCTATTCGTTCATATTTTTTAAAATCTGTAAGTTTTTGGAGACTTCTGTTTCCTTACTTTGATGTGCACTGATTTCTTTTTTGACATTTTGTTTCTGTTGTCCCCTTCCTTTATTGGTCTTCCCTTTGCTATTCAAGCTCAGTGTAACTTTTGCTGCATTCTTTACCTGTAATTTCTGTTCCCTGAATCCCCAGTCTTTGTCTGCAGAATGTCTCTGTACTGCGCTCACTTAAATAACTGTAGTTCCACTCCCCACAGTGCCCGTTCTTACAGGATTCCGGGTTAGCACCGGCTGTGGTAGATGTTTTGCTCAGGGTTTGGAGAATGGAAACGAAGCAACAATCCTTGTACTTGGAGAGCTGGTGCAGGGTACCAGACACGGTGCAGCCCCTTCATCCTGTGCAGCCCCTTCATCCTGCGTTAGATGCTGACTCACCTACACAGCATGGAGCGCACCTGGCACTGCACATGCTCTAGTTCCTCTAGGACCCTTCCTTCAGCTTCTCTCGGTTCTGGGTCACGGCCTGTGTACACCAGCTTCTGCCTATTACCGAATACACTGAGCTGGTAGGAGCCAAACTACAGATGCAGGTTCTTTTCAGGCTTTAATTTGTCGTCAGAGTCCAACTGTTCTCATGGCTCCGTATTTATCTGCATTGTCTCTATTTCACTGTCGTTTACATTCAGATTTTCTCCCCAACTTTTTGTGCTGTTATCCCATAGTGACTTCGGGCTTCACATTAGACGATTTGACACTGGAACATTGATACCTAACGTGTTGTCTAATACTTGAGTCTATTTTTCTGTATCACACAGAATATTTCCGACTTTCTGATCATATTCTACATGATACACTAATTTTTATGGAGTCCTAAAATGATTTGCAGAGAGGTGATGCATAGCACATAAATTTTTAAACGCTTTGCCTTTCCATATACACATATACCATTATCTTCATAGTAAAGGATAGTTAGCTAGGCGTACAATATTTGGTTAGGAATTTTTTTTTCATAAAACTGAATGATACTATCATATTACTTTTGGTTCCAAATGTTGATGTTGAGAATCTGAAATCATTCTCTTTATATGTGAGAATTTTCATCTCCAGAAGTTCTTAGAATGTATATTCTGTTTCTTAATTCCATTACTCAAAGAGTGTAATGGATGGGCTGTTTTTTATTCATCATAATAGACATTTAGTGATGTTTTGCAACCTAGAAACTCATGCTCTTCAGGTTTTCAGTTTTCTTCTTATTTTGTTGATAACGTCTAACTCTTGTTCATTCTGTGTTCACTAATGAGAAATTGCGGCCCCTGAATTAGTTTTGTAATCTTTTTAAAATTATTATGCCTCATTAAAGGTTCTTGAACTATTTTTTGTCTTTTCCTCTGAATTTTGTATTTATACTGCTAGATCTTTATTTTAAGTGGCATTCTTTTGGCATTATTCTTCTTTAAAAGATGCAATACTTTCTCCTATTCCTGATAAAACATTGAGGATTAGATAGGGGTACATAGAGTCTCCCAAAATATGTACACATCAGAAAAAGAAAAACAAGTATAAATATTTTTATTACTAAATTTATTGAGATATCATCGGGTTAGTACAAGTCACCTTTGGTCTCTACAATTACAAGGGGTGCTCAAAATGGCTTTCAGACATTTATTAGTATAGCAAACTGCTAAAGTGTGTACACATTTTGGGTTGGAATATACTCCATTCTGTCAAAGCTGTTTTTTCCAGCTTTTTGCTAATGTTTCCATGTTAGAATCTTTTCCTGAAAGCAATGATTGCTTGTTCGTATATTTTGCAGTTACGCAGGGCTTTTGCACTGAGCTTCATCCTAAGAACTCTTTATCGATTATCTTGAGACAGGGTGTTACTAACTTGTTAAGCTGCCTATCTTGGGCTCAAACCTACAATCCTCCTGTCTCTGCCTCCCAGAGTGCTGGAATTACACTTGATTACCAACACTTCCAGCCCTCATCTGTTCAATACAGTAGTAGCTGAAATTGCCACCACCCTATTCAGTGTGACATCTGAAATTCATAATCAACTTTAAAAGACCATTTCCTATCAACCTGTTTTGAAACTCAGTTTCATTGTTTATCTTTTATTTTTATCCTTAAAATAAAATTAAAAAATAAGCAAATAAGTAAATGCATAAACTTAAAAACAAATCAAGATGCAAATGTTTTGAGAATCATCCAAGGACCATGTGGTGCTAACGGTGGCTAGCTAGTTATGCTAGTGGAGGTGTTGGAACATTTAGGGCTTGAGGCTTAATGGAAGGAAATTAGTCATCTGAGGTGTGCCCTGAAGGGGATAAAAGAGCCCATCGACTCTTCCTATCTCTCTTCGCTTTTCTGCCACTATAAGATGAGCTGCTCCTGTGACATGCACTTCCCACCATGTACTGGGTTGCCAGACACAAAGCATCCATGAACTGACCCTTCTGAAACCACAAGCTAAAATAAATCTTTAAAATTGATTTCTTCTACTTAAACTTGATATTTTATCTCATTGACTGTTTAGTAACTCAAATATGTACACAGATTTGCTTCAGCTTAAAACTTCTAAATCACCATTATTTATAGAGTGCATTGTCCCTTAATGGTAATTCATATCATAGCCCAGAGTGCAAAAAGCCAACACAATCCCTAATATTGGTGAAATTATTAAATGTGCAAGATTATTAACAAATAACTGGGAGTTAAAATAGCTAAAAAATTTCATGTAAATGTAGATGATGTGGGAAAAATAATATTATAATTCAGTAATATTTTTAGGTGCCAATATATTCATTTATTCACATATAAACTCTTAGAACCCAACAAATTTTTATACAGCATTATCACATGCAGTATTAAAAGTATCATACAAGTGCCCAAGCCAACCCACTTAAGCCACTGTAAACATTCTATGGCTATAATGTTTTACTGTAAACTATACAAAAGTATTACAGTTTGGAGAAATGGTATCCCAGCTGCAAAAATCGTTAAATAGGGGGCTGGGGATTTAGCTCAGCGGCATAAGTGTCTGCTTTGCAAGCAGGCAGTCGTGAGTTTGATACCCAGTACCGATAAAAAGGAAAAAGACAAAAAAAAAAAAATCATTAAATAGACTTTGGTAGGTTTGTCTGAAAATGTATTCACAGATATAGGAAAGGATTGTTTGCACAACACCCATTTGCACAAGAAATAACATCAAGAATTAACAAATTGGATTATATCAAAATTAGAAAGCTTCTGTTCAGTAAAGGAAACAACCAATGGAGTAAAAAAGTAACCTACAGAATGTGAAAAAATTTTCCAGCTATTCCTCAGAGGACTAACACCTAGAATATAAAAAATTAAAAAGTTAGATACTCCTAATAAAAGACCTAATCAAAAATGGACAACTAAAATGAATAAACATTTCTCAGAAGTACAAATGGCCAATAAATAATGCTCAGCATCTCTAGGAATTAGTAAAATACAAATTACAGAAACCCATATGCCCCCTTACTTCAGAAACAATGGTCATTATCAAGAAATCAATAACAAATTCTCGAGAGGCTGCTGGGGGAAAAGATACCCTCTACATTGCTGATGGGGATATATACTAGTATAATCATTATAGAAATCAATATGGAGATTCCTCAAAAAACTGAAACTAGAAATTCCAATCCACCTAGGCATTCCCCTCATGAGTATATTCCTGAAATAGTTAAAGACATCATATTACATACATACCCTTATTAATAGCACCACAGCTCCTAAAACTAAATCTTGGAAATAGCCAGAGTGAGCAGTTTAAACAACAGACATATTTTCTCATAGTTCTGTAATCTGGAAGAACTGTGGTCTAAATGTTAGCATGGTCAAGCCCTGGTGTGAGCACTCTTCTTAGCCTGTAGATGGCTGCATGGAGAATGAGCAAGCCTGCAGCTGTCTGTTTGTATAAGGGCACTAATCTCATAGTAGGGGGCCCCATCTCCCTGAAACACTGAAACATAATTACTTCGTAGGCCCCAACTATGAAAACTGTAACCATGAGAGATAGAGTTGCAGCAACATGAATTTGGCATGGAGGGAGAACACAGTTCAGTCCATAGATGTGGGTGCCCAAGTATATTTAACTCCTGTGGGTTCAGTAGGGCACCTCATCCTTCCGTTCCATCTGCTCATTTCATTCAGTTTCTGTAGAGGGCACATTACATTGCTGTCCTGTGATGGAGGAGCAGTCACACACATGCTGGGTGAGAGAAGCAAAGGAGTGATCGATTGCTCCCTAACTGACCCTTATCTTCCCAACTCTGGCTTTTGGTGCTACGCTGTGTCTCTAATTTGTTTCCAGCTCCCTGTAGTTCTCACCGAGTTCTTCTGTGTAAGCTCCCTGGAGGCACAGTTTTTGCCTCTTCTAGTTTCTTCTCTGTTGTTTTTCTCTGACAAGGTGGGGATGGAATAGAGTAGGTCCTCAGTAAATACTTAGCAAATGATAAATACAAATGTACTTCTTTTCAGCTTTTGTTATTCAGTTACTCAGCTATTATACTCATCTTCCAAATTTTATTGTCGTCTTTGTTTTCCTGTCATCTTAACTCATATTCTATTTAATTATGTGGACTTTAGCCCATTTAGAAACATCATTTTTAGTAGGTTTTAGAGCACAGTGAGTGAAATATGTCTCATATTAACATGTTTACCTGGATCTGGAGCATTGGTTTACAATTATTTAATAATTTTTAAAAATGTTTTTCTTTTAACTTTTTTAAACACTCCTAATAAAATCAAGAGGTCTACAGATAGGAACATCTATATTTTGTTTTGAGAATCTGTGGCTTCTCCAACTTTGACTCTCACCCATTCTACTATTAGGGTTGTTACCATTTTTAAATTCCAGTTGCCAATTATCATCTAACCATTTGTAATTTTTCCATGAAGTAAGTGTTCTAGACATCAAGAACTCTTGGGCTTTCTCCTTTCCTTGAGCTTTAAATAAATTATGACACACTTATTTTGTAGCAAAATTAGGTGCCAGGAAAGATCAGAGAATCTATCTTCCATTTCTCGGAGAAAGGCTGATCATCCCAGTGGTATTTGTATAATGACTCACTCATTATTGATTAAGGGTCTAGAAAGTCTGAGGATTTTGCATTTTGAGAATCCAGAAGTAATTTATGGTAATAAGCAATAATGGGAAGATAACTTCTGTGTGTTTTGTTGCTAAAAGCAGCTGTCAAATCCAGATGCCAAGAGATATTAATGTGAAGAATATTGTCATAATGCCCATTTTTCCCGAAGTAAAGTAACTCAGTGACACAGTGCTGCGTATTCTAATGCTCCTTTGGCTTATTTTCTCTTGGCTTCTTACTGATGAGTGACTTTGGTTACAAATTAGGGAGGTGAAAACTATAAAAATCTCATGTGTTCGAGACCGTGCTTTGTGTGTTATGAGTGCTGAAGATAGATGCCTTTTATCTCCTCAGATTCATTTTTCTCAATTGGCTAAGCATTTCACAGAATGATAGGACTGCTACCCATCTGTCGAAAACTAAAATGTTATCAACTGACATTGTGCGATGAGTGCCACCAAATGAAAGGGGTTTATTGAGTTCCAGCATTGCTTCTGTCCTTCTTAGGCAGAAACAGCATTCTTGTTCTAACGATAAATACAAATCATGTTACTTTAGTTTTAAATTCAAGAATTCTATTGAATTCAATAACATATTTATAAAGCAAAGGCACAACCTTTTGTGATTGAAAGTACACAGCTGTACCCAAGGGTAAAGACAAAGTTATTGAGAAATTAGATGGCACACATTGAACAATAGGAAAGGACAATGGTAGGAACACTGCCACACCCACGCCCAGCTGTAACCAGTATTACCTATTAGTTTCCAAATGGTAAGAAAGTTAACTGGGCACCAGGGGAGCCTCAGGACACACAGGGCACTTGTGACAACAGCTACTGACCAACACACATGGGAATATTTCACTTTATTAACAACAGCCATTATTGCACTGGTGCCCTCTGGTGCAGTATCAGCCTGAGTCAGACTAAACTTGAATTTCTGTCATGGCCATTCTTTAGAGTGTGATCCAGAGCCAATTTCCTAACCTCTCTGAGTTAGTTTTTCCCTCTATGGCAATAGGTGCAGTCCTCCCTTGTGTCATTTTGCAATGTGTGTTCAGATTACCTGGGTAGACATCTAGGTGGACATTCTAGGTGTGTCAGATTTTCTATGGCAGACAAAGACTCTCTAAGCCTGTGTCCTTTGGTAAGGAAGACTTTAGGAGGAACTACATAGTATGTGACTGCCAAAGAGAGGAAGGGATGGCTGTGAGGGCCTCGTGCAAGGCCACCTCTGTAACTGTCACTGCCAGATCGTCACTGCCATTGTCGTTTTTAAGAAGTTTCCTGTGCCAAATCTGGTAGCTCGTAAGGTTACTGTGGACTTTTTATGCCAAGATCTATATGGGAAAGATGGGTGACTTGCTTTTTGTCTCAACTAACTCAGTCTGAATTAAATTCAAATTTCCCACTTGTGCATCTGAAGTTAAGAACCTAAATCCCATTTGGAATTCTAGCCGTAAGAAAGTCAAAAGTATTCAGCTTCCATTCCTCTGAAGGACGAGAAGGCAAACTGAAGGGCTTGAATGAGTTTTGAAAAAACTGATGCAGATTACATCACATAGTTCATGCCTTGACCTTAGAAGCAAAGGCCACATCTAATACATTCATCCTAAGTGTCATTTCTATTTTAAAGATTTTGTGATTAATTGCGAGGTATCTGAATATAAATTTGCACAGTAAGGTTGACCAAAGCTTTTATAAGTACTAGAAAAACACTACTAACATTTGAGTATTGACAATTTAGAGATAAAAAGGACTTTGACTGATAAAAAATACATAAAGGTTAGGGTTAAAAGAAATGTTATCCCAAGGCCCAAAGACCCAGGTCTTTCAATCTCAAAATATTTGTTGTTTAAATTATATCACAATACATGGATTTATTTTTTAAAAAACTTTAATTTACCTGCAACTTTGGTAATAGGGCAATTCAAGTCTGGCTTTGTAGTGCATATCTGTAATCCTAGCATTTGAGAGGCTGAGGCAGGAAAATAGTTGTGAGATTGAGACCAACCTGGATTATAAAGTGAGCTCCTCAAGGCCAGCCTGAACTGCATAGTGAGACTCTGTCTGAAAGACCAAAAAAAAAAAAAAAAAAAAAAAAAAAATGGTAATTTAGTGTTAACTTCTGTTAGTGAGGAAACCTAAAGTCCAGTGATTTCTTTCTGCACTTACTTTGTAAGCTCGCTGTGTATCTTTGGAATGATCAGGAGTATGGAAATTAATTTCCTATGTCAAATCACTGGGCCACTCAGATACTGGTTAAACATTCTCTGTGTGTGTCCATGAGTGTCTTTCTGCACGAGATCATGAAGTTGGAGATCTTGAAGTTAGTATTTGAGTAAGTAGAAGACAGTAGGTTTCCCTCCACAATATAGGTGAGCCTCATTTAATCTCTTCAAGTCCTGAACAGGACAAGATAGAGTAGAGGAGGTGTTGCTCTGTCCCTGCCTGACTCTCTTTGAGCCGGTATATTGTCTCCTTTTGCCTTTGAACTTAGGCTGAAGCACATACTACTACCTCTCCTGCTTCTCAGGGATGCAGTCTTGGATTGGAGACATACTGGCATTTGTCTCTGGTCTCCCCTCTGCTGCCTGCACATCCTGGGACTTCTCAGCTTCCATAATTATGTGGGTGAATTTCATTCAGCAAATCTCTTTATATTCAGATTGTATACAAAAATGTAGTAGATGATATGTTCATGGATGCAAAGTATATATATTTGTATTTTATAAATATATAATGCACATTTAGGATAGACGTATATTCTATATTTTTAAGTTGGGTTTGTATAAATATGTGCATATTACCTGCTTCACTGCAGAACTCAGACCAAAGCAATCAGCTATGGGGAGCATTGAAGGAAAACGTATGCTTAAAACTGAACCACTGAATTAATCTCCACATATATAAATGGGTATAAATGTTCCAAAAGGAAATTTAAGTCACTTTTCCTTAATTTACCCAGGATCATATAAACTACATAAAATTGAGCTTCACTTACTATAAATGCAATTGTGAAGGATTTTTTATTGACTTGATAAAAAGCCATAAGCAATGGGAACCATATGTCAGTTGAACTGTTGGGGTTTTGCAATATTAATTGCAGTTAATAATGCATTCAATTTACAAACTGGTTAAATTAATGATATCAAGCTGTCATTTTATATTTTATACAAATGTTCTATGTAAAAAATTTAATTGTTAGGTAGACTATCACAAAATTCAGTACTGCCGGGAAAGATCACAAAGGAAAGAATAGAAAATGATGTTTATTAACCACAAATATTTTTTTCTTTTAATAGAAAGAGACGATTTGGGGTCATTTGTCACATACTCACATCTTGGAGTTGCCAACATGTTCTCAAAGGAAATATTATGAATTCAAAAATGCTCAGAGAGTTAGAAGGGGGATATTAATCAGTCAAAATTTCCATATCCAGGATATATTTCAGAGGCAAAGGGGTGTGGTGCTATCTGGGTACAATGCAGTATTGTGTGCTGTAAGCAGTGGTGAGTAGTCTGATTTGGGTTTTTCTGTGTATGTGCCGTGTACATCTCTTGCAGGTTTCGTATGTTTGTGGAAAATAATCATGAAAAAAATCACTGAAAGAGGAAGAAAGAGGAGCTCTTAAGACTGTTCACTTATTTCTCTGTCTTTGTTTCTCTTTTATTAGTGACTTACTTTTTTCTTTTCCATTATTCATAAGCAAGGCACAGATGGTTAAAAACAACTCTGGACTGGTCACAGTCATAGCCCATGTTCTTTGAATTCTTTTTATCCATCATTTTCAGAGACTTTAGCAAATACCTTTACCTTCAATAGTGAGGAGGTAAATTAAAAATCAACTTAGAAGCCATATATAATTTATGAAATAATGTAGGAAACATGAAGAGGATTTAAGGTACGAAATCATAGAAAAGAAGAGAAAAGTTTTTCCTTGCACACAAGAGATATTTGTAAGAGGTCAGTAATATAAGTGATGCTGGTTTAGTTGTCTATGAATTAAGGCCCCATGTGTGTTTCTAAGCTATCAATGATCAGAATGAGTCCCGAAATGAAATGATAAATGATTCCCAGGCAGTTAAAACAAAAGAAACAAATCTAATTTTAGATAAAATGAGAAAGCTTTCTTCTGCTTGTCGGATGCATTCCCAGAAAAAATTTTGTTTTTGGTTAATTCTAGTGGGTTGACACTGGTGACAATGAAATGCATTTTCGTTGTGAAACCTCATTGGTGGCAAAATTATTTTTATACAGTTGTCTTCCTGTTTTGATGCTCATAAATGCCCAGTTTGCTTCAGACTGCTTATAATTGTTTTTTAATATGTGTCGGTACTGCTGGGTTCTCATACTGTTTGTTCTTGGGAAATATTTGTTTTATTTTAATGTCTACCAAAGTGCCAAATTTCTTCAGTAAATCTACCAGTGAATTTTTCTCAAGTCCAAGAATAGTAGGGAGATTTTTTTTTAAAAAAAGTGTCTTACTTGAAAGCTGTGATTATGGTCAGGAAAGCAGATTAGCAAAGTACTGTCATGTTTTGTATGAAGTTGGATTGTTTCAAGGAAAAATCATAGTGTAAATAAACTGAGCCAGGCTTCTTAAAACTTTGGGTCTTAATGAAAACATTTTTCCCAACCTTTCTCCATGAATTCTCCATTCATATTTTTATTAAATGCACAGGAAAAAAAACCAGCCTACCTAGTATTTCTAACTATCTCTACTTTAAGTTTAAATGTGGTTGTTGCTTCCATCTTTCTTCAGTTTCTATGCAGTTAACCAACCAGATTCGAAGAGGCACGAGACGCTCAGCAGCCTGAGCTAAGGGTCGGTGTTTATGTTGTTCCATGTGCTCAATTTACAAAGCAATAAAAGCTGAGTGTCACACGGGATGCCTGGTAAGGGAGACAAAATAGAAATCCACTAATGTTTTCTGAGTTTATTTTTTCATTTAGAAATGAGAGTTTTAAACAAGGAGAGCAGTGCCATCCAACATGGGGTTATCTTTTCACATATTTTTGAAATTTGCTTTGATTATCATTGTTCCTTTATGCAACCAAGAACCTGTAAAGACCCGTGAACTTTAATCTGTTGAGCCCCCGCACCTTGTATTATCTTTAATAAAGGTCAGTGTACAGTGGAACCTAAATCAAAAGTTGCAAGATCCCTGCTCTGGAGAAAGAAGGACATTGGAAGTGGGAATTAGAGCCAAATGTTTCAGTGGAACTTGTCACGTATACATTTAATTTAGATTGCTCACATGAAACTAAAGGGTGAAAATCCTCTTTCATTTGCAGTTTTTCCTTCCATTGGCATGATAAAAAAAAATTAGAAAAGAGAAATAAAGGGCTACTTAAGGAACATCTTTCAAAGATAATTTTGAAACAATTTTGATGGCGTGATTTTTGTTTCACACCTTCCTCTTGAACATACATTCTTTATAATATGTGATTTTATTTATAAAAAGTGTCTGGAGAGCCAGGAAAAGAGAATTTCTTTGATAGCTGGAGGATATTGCTTTAGAAAAACAGTACATATTCTTGGAACTAAAAAAATAACTATTTATCCACCTTTTTTAGTAATTACCTATTGATATCCAAAAATATACCATGGGACCTGGGGATATAGAGAAGAGTATCATTGATTCCTTGCCTTGAGAAAAGGTAAGTGGGCTAGATAATTACAATACAAAACTGTGTAGCTAGATAATTACAATACAAAATCATAAAGGCTACTACAACATACAGAGGGGTTGTCATGGGGTAACGATTCCTATTGTCTGTAGTCCAGACGGCCTCTGACCAGTGATTGGTTTGAGTTTATTTAATAGGTAAATATAGAAGTTTCCTTTCATTTTCATAGCAAATCAGAGTTTCCAAGCTGTTTCATTATGTCATTTTATGTGATACACAAAACCAATTAATATAGACATTGTCCCTATGAGGAATTGGGCTCTGAGCAGAAAAGTAAGCACTCAGACCACTCAGTAAGGTAAGTGGCCATAACAACATCTGAGAGCTTCATGGTACAGTGCACACCACTACCCTCACAGCGCATAATTCTGTGAGTTGAGTTCAAGACACTCTGATTTTTAATAATTTAGCAAAGTCCCACTAACAGATGAACAAAGATTCTCTTCTCTACCAAACATTACACAGGGACCTCTGAGCCCACTTCTCCACCAGTCCTTGAACTTGAGTCTTCTTTTAGCTCTCCTAGTCCACTTGAGCAGATGCCTTGTTAGCTCAGTTCTGCTGGACTCCCATCATCTTTAATATCTGATCAGACTCTTCATCCCCTGTCCTCTATGTTTGGGCATGCTGAACTGTCTTCTGCTATTAGGTCAATTTAATCAGAAGCCTCTCTCAGTAATTGTCCACCTACTGAACCCCTTCAGTTTGGTGATGGGCAGTACATTTTTACGTCTTTGCTGCATTAAGAGTTGAAACTTGCAATAGTTTTGACACCTATTGCAATGATCCCAAACAAACTCTTTCTTAAAGTTTTAACAAGTGATAGAACTACTTTTTCTTTAATAGTCATATCTAAAATTGAAATTGGACTTAACAACTAGCTGAGACTAGGGTAATGCAGTAGAATAATTAATTATTGTCCTCACACAGAAAGAATAATACACGTTAAACACCTTAAGGATAAAAATGTAGTCTTCTTTACCTTTCCATACTCATCTTTTTATACTTAAGGTGGTGCCTTTATATAAATATTTAACACATATTTGCTGACACTGTTGCCATGGGTGATGGGGTCTGAGATGGACTCTTAGGTTTTTGTGTGCAGTGAACGAAGAATTGGATGAGACATGCAATGGGAAGGAAAGAGCAGCAAAGTTTAATTAGGAGCTAACACTTGTTCAGAGTCAGCAAGCTCCCGCTAGCAAAAGAAAAAAGACGTGAGCACTGAAGACACTGAGTTTGGGGATTTCAAACACTTTGGCTCGTGTAGGGTACCTCCCAATGGGTTTTCCAAAGCCTGACTGACAACGTGATTGACAGGGTGCTGAGTTATGTCCACTATGCTGTCGTGCGTGTTTTTCCCCCCATCATTTACTGTTATAATTGGATGTGTGAGACAAAGATCATATGTAGGAATCTTCAGTGAGCTCCAGGTGAGAAAATGTTACTATAAGTCATGCAGGAGGATTTGGCATGCATGGTTTAGGATTTTGGAATTACCCAGAGCAAGCTCAGAGGTCTTTGTTTTGCTTATTTCTGCCTCTGAGTAGTCAACCTTAGGATAAAGGCTGGGAGTGTTGGCCAGTGGACATTGCCTAGACTCAGGTAAGTAGAGGGGAGTAGTCCAGGAACAGTGGAAGGTCAGTAGCCCCAATCATAAGATCTATATTAATCCTGCATACTTATATTTAATAGGTAAATTATTTTATTATAATTCATCTTTTTATTAAGATCTCATTTTCTTTTCATAATTACTATAGATTTTGAACTAAAGGTCTTAGTTAATGATATAATTATATTGCAATCAAGGATTAATCTTAGTAAACCCCTAAATATAGTCTTATGTTATTCATACCTCATCTATTTTGTCTGTTCTGTTACACAGGCAAAACAAAACTTATACTAAGGCTCATTTCTAAAGTAGACACTAGGAAAGCAATAGGTAATCCTCTTTCGTTCTGACCTCAAGTGTTTCAAACCAGGACAAAAACCTCATATTACCTAGTATTATGGACAGATAAGTGAGGTAGAAATATTGTAGGCAGTCAGATAGGGAGAGACCCTCAAGGAAGTCAGTGCAGAACATGAGAACACATCACAACTGTGGCCGGAGTTGCCATCTGTCGAAGGCAGACCTCAAGATAAAGATGGAATGACCAGGCCTACATGCATCCCCCAAGAATAAGCAAAAACTAAAGATTATACTACAGTGGATACCACCTGGTCCAATAAAGTCTAGACAGACACCCAGATGTATGACCAGGACCTCCTGACCCATCTCTCCCTACAATAATCTTTGTGTTTTCCATGTACACGTGCTACATGACCTGATTCCTAATTAGAGCAAAATTGCCCAAGTGAGTATACTTGCAATCTTATTGGTTGGTCATAACTTTGACCCACTTTGTGCCCACTTCATGATTTTGTACTTAACTCTGTGATTTTGGTCCATAAATCTTCTTTGGAAAAGTAGGCTCATTGGTAACCTACTTCGAGGTCCTCTCCTGTCTCTTGAGAGTTATCTCTGTCAATAAATTTTTCATGCTCTTAACCTCTGTTGTTCCTTAGAGTTCATTCTTCAATTTTGGAGAACAGGATATTGGCATTTCTGACATCAAGCAGGTTGAGAGGTATATCTACTTCCCCTGTATTTCTAGAGCAAAACCAAAACACTTTCCTCTCTGCAATCTTATTTCTTAGTTGTGATTATTTACCTGGGGCACAAAAATCTAAGACTTGAGTTCATTTTAATAAACTAAATAGAAAAATCAATTCATAATTTTAAAATTATTTTAATCTTATATGTAATAATAGCTGAAAAGAGTTATTTGCTTCTTGTAATGAGTTTTAGAATTATCTCATTTCTGAGGGAATTATTTGAAAAACTATATCTAGTGCCTGCCCTGAAGACACTTATAATCCAACTGCAAAGACAGTAAACAAAAATGAAAGATACTTACAGGCAAAATCAATTCCTAGTTTCTTATTTTTAAAGGCTCCAGGGAAAGTAGCAGAAATTTTTGTTGCATACTACCCTCATCACTTTTGGTGAAAATAAATCAATCATTTTTATGTATTACCAACTTAATGGATTCTGTGATGTGTGTATTAAGAAATGAACTGAAGAGGTAAACAATAAGGAAATCACAAATTCAGAGATTTTCAGTTGAGACTTCTAAAAAGAAAAGAAAAGCGACAGAAAACATAGCACTGGTACATTTGTGAGAACCAGGAAACGAGCAGGTGTGATTCCCCTGGTAACCTTCACGTGGACTGTATGAGCCAGCACAGTGGTTTCTCCTTGTTTTTATATTGCAATCAAGGAATTGATTGTTTCTTTAATGCGGTTATTTTACATTCCTTCCCTCCTTTTCCGATCCCTTGTGCTTTACATCAAGGCCTAAAATCTGGTAATTGGTCTTAATTTGTCAGAAATGCAAACTCTTGGCAGCAGAGTAAAAAGAACTGAGGCAAAACTTAGAGGAAATTTTAAAGAATTAAATTCTAGAAAATAAATTGTGTTGTGAAATCAAGTTTTCAAAGGAAGCCACCAAAGAAATTTCTGAATACAACAAGGATTTTACCTAAACCCTACCATATTAAAATATAGCGTATAAATTACAGGAAGTCTAATAACTGGCACATAAATTGTCCAGGACAAATTTTTTAAAAAGCAATCACTGTACCTTTTGCTATCAGGCATGCTGAACAGTTGGTTTGATGGACACTTCATATAAATAGACGAAAAGTGAAAGACTGCTCATCAGCATCTTCTCAGCATAACTTCTCTCCCTTTGGCAGCCTCTGTTGGCCTGTTTGTGACTCTTCTTAGCGCTGTTTAGCTCTTATTTGGCTGCCAGGACTTCTCAATCTCCCATCATTTTCAGTTTAGTTAAACCCTACCTCTCTTGCTTTGCTTTATTTTGCTTTGCTTTGTGTTAACAACCCTCTTAATATTCTGTTAAGCACTGCTAGAAAAATTCAGAGGAGCTAGCCAACTGAGTTTGGCACAATTAGGCCTTCCGTGCTGTTCTGCTATCCTTTTATTCATCATTAACTGACTTCCTAAAGCATTTTCTTTAGCAGTTGTTCTAGTTCTTTTCCAATTTCGTCCAGCCTCCAATTATACTATTGTCTTCTTCCATCTGAGTAAGTAAAGACTGTCTTCTTACTCGGCTCATAAGGAGTTTCTTTCCTACATTCTTTCTTCTTTACCCCAGAATTCTCTAAAATCCATAGATGGTTTCATTAAGGATACAATGACATATTCAAATTAGGATCATTCGAGTAGGAGGTGCTTATTGAAAGATCCTTTACAGGAGTAGAGTGTGCAGTATCCTACGGTAAGAAATCTCCTTGCCCATATTGCCAAATGGGTAGGTCTTCTGGGGGGCTTCAAAAGGTGAGGGTCCTGCAGAGCTGCCCATCTTTAGTGGAAGAGTGACCTTTATTTGAAAACTGCTGCCAGCCCAAGGCAAGTCTGAAAGCCAAGGGGTGGAACCTGACTTTTCTTTCATAGCTTATTCTGATCTCTTGCCTGTTCTCTGTTGACTACAGATGAGGTGCATGTATTTCCTTGTTGGCACTAAAATCAGGATGAAGCATGAATCTTCAGGGACAAATAAAAGGCATCTAGCATAGACTTCAATAAAAATAAGCAAAATAAATGAATAATGGGAAACAGGGCAGTTGGATCTTTTATGAAAGGGATGAGCATTGAAAGATAGTGGGAGAAAAGAGAGCAAGAAGGAGATAAAAAAGAATTAAGATGAGTTATGTATATGCACCAACTCCACATAAGGAATGCAATCAATATGTACTGCAAAAGAATAAAAGTAATAATAAAAATAAAATTTCTATCACAGAATGAGATATCTTATTAAAAAACCCAAATGATTTGTTGTGGCTATTATGTAAAATAATAATTTAAAATTTCACAAAATATAAAGAATTTCCCCTGCTCTCAATTTTTGCAGAAGTTCAGAGCCTAGAGGTAAAGAAGTATAAACCCATAAGTATTTAAACCACCTATAGTTAGATATTTAAACAAACACATTTAAAAGTAGTTTTCCAATTAGAGAAAAGTGCTATAATATAGCAACATATAAAATAGTTCAGCAATTGAGAAACAGGAGAGATATCTTCTGGGACAGCAAAATCACAGAGAAAATTTTCATGTGGCTGGAATATTTAACAGTGAAGAAAATTTACACGTATGGAGTTAGAGAAGCGAGGGAAGGTATTCTAGCAAGAAAGAATGGGCCGAGAGGGTGAGGTGTAAAAATGTGGAGTCCCTATAGAACTGTAAAATAGGCATAAAATATGGGGAGTTTAGCAGATCGCAGTGACAGTTTTGGGAATGGTTGAGAACTCACTAGTGAAAAGTAAAATCCCTGTTTTTACTGTGTGGAAGGATCATTTTCAATCCTGAACATTTATTAGTGTTATGCATGCAGCAGATGGATGGTACAGATACCCTCATCCTCATTTTTCAGGTGAGCAGACTGACTCTTGGGACAATGGTAAATAATTTCATCTAAGTCTCAAAAACAAGTAGTGTCTTTTCTGGAAAATTCAATGACATAATAAAAGTATGTTCAAGGCAGATACAATGCCCAATGTGTAGCAGCAGTACAGTAACTGTTAGTCAGTGTGCAGATTAGTTTAATTGTGAGCTGGGCTACGGGAACCTCAGATAGTTGGTAAAATATTATTTCTCTGTGCATATGCGTGTGTGTGTATAAAGATTTTTTCAAAAGATACAAATGAGCATCAGTAGAATGAGTACAAAATAACCAGCACAACAGGGCTAAGCATCGCCAATCCATTGAGTGTTTGAATAGAACAAAAAAGCAGGAGAAGGTTAAGTTTACTCTCTCCATTTGATCTGGGAAATTCATCTTTTCCTATCTTTGGACACTGACTTTCCTAATTCTCATATCGTTAAGCTGAGGTGAGGATTTATTTCTTTGAACCTCCATTTCTGACTTGGTCTAAATGACACCACTGATTTGCCTAATTTTCCAGATTGCACATTATAAGAGTTCTAAGGCCCCATAATCACATAAACCAATCCCTAGGATAAATTAAGCGTTGTGTACCTCCCTGTGTATCTCTTATTGCCATTGTTACTTCATTTCTACATCCTATTAGTCTTGTTTCTCTGGTGAACCCTGACAACTACAATATTAGTCACTTGAATTATCTCGAATTTGATCTGTAGTAAACCTAAACCAATGCAGTGTTGGAAGAATGAGAGGAAGCAGAATATGCTGAGTGTGACATAGAAAGGACATGAATGGGGATAGCGATGTCCAGGTAAAATCATGTGGATTTAGGGAATATTACTGAGATCAGATTGATGTAACTTGGAAAGTGAAAAGAAGAAGACAGGGCAAATAAAAAACCAGAGTGTGAAAGAAGAAGAAAAATCTCAAGTAAACTGTGTTTTATCCTTCTATTCTTTATATGTAGAGAGAGTTTCCTCATCTTCCTAATCATCTACATTGGCCTACCCTATTGTTCTTCTTCTGGTTCCCGCATAGTAAACTAGGATGACCCTAAAGTTTATTTTGTTATCTGAGACATTTCATAATTTCAAATCAAGCTGTCATTTTTATAGTTTACTTGGATTATTGCAATAATATAAATGTTTTCTTTGTATCCTATTTCTTCTCTATAAACTCATCCTTTATTTACGTTAGAAATTATAATTGCTTCCTTTTCCACTGAAACATTTCAGTGAGGCCTAGCTAGCTAAAGAATGGGTCAATGCTAGACCATAGAAAAATATTATTTTTCAGCAACAAAGAGTGAGGATAAATGTCTGTATTTCATAGAAAGCTGTTCATGTAAGAAAGTGAATTGTAGAGCTATCCATGCAGTGGGAACCAGTTATATTGAAACAACTTTTCTTAGATTCCTGCTCTGCACCTGTCTTTACATATATTGCTGGAAGTTGGAAGAATGCACATTGATTCAGTCCTTCTCTGGGTTAATATTGGACAAAAGCTTTGCACTTTCTACACATGCCCTTAGCTTTGAGGAAGTCTTTATTAACAAGCTTGGTATTACTTCTGTAATTAAAATTTTAAAATATGGACAGCATTTGGGACACACGACTGCAAACTATGGCACAAACTCGGGCGTATAAATATTTTAAACTGAAGGAATTGGAGACATGTTAGGCACAAGAAACACTCTGCTTCTCTCTTGAGGGTCATGAGAAGAAAAGCATCCTCAGAAGAAAGGCACCCTTTCTGCAACTAAAGAAAACGAGCGCCCTAACTGCTGAGGACCTGAAGGTGGAAGAACACAGACGGATGGATGAAGAGGCCTCACCACTCCGTTTCTACTCTCTGTGTTGACATATTGTCCTAGTGTTCTCCAGTCTTCATCACATCGGGTATAAAACACTCAGATTTAACCATTTCTTCGGGTTGTCATTTATGTCACATCCTTTTCTCTTGTTGATCTACTTTTGTTACAGAGTTCAAACAGAGAACTCTATGATGCAGAAAGGCAAGGATCTTTTATTTCTTCCTTACAGGAGAATAAAACACAACCTGTTGGCATTAAAATTCTTCCATTTCTGAGCCCGAGTTTGGTTATTTCTGCTCCTTTCTCACCATACCTCAGATGTCTTAATGTTGCGTAGGAAATAGATGAACTATAGGAGCAACTTCTCTTCTCCCGAACGTAGCAACTTTGGCCAAAAGCTTAGGACAGGTTTCTTACATTAAGCCTGGACACAGACATGCACTTTTTTTTTTTTAAATAACTTTAGACACACACTACAGCTAGTTGTGGGACATAGCAATTTGCTAACTCAGATTTACAATTTGATACAATTGAGCTCTTCCGTGGTTTCTGAGTACATCTTGTTCTTTCCTTGTAAGTTTCCTCCCTTCTGGAAGATACTACCCACACTCTCTCTCTACTGGAACGGATGCTAACATATGTTCCTCTCAGAGGCCTTTTCATTCTCTACGTTGGACATGAACTCTTCTTCTTTTCTACTTTGTAATTTATTTTGATTTTTGGAACTCTACTGATACATTAATGTTTTGTTTAGACATTGTAGTACAGTTTAAGAAGTAATTGTAGCCTGTTAATAAATTTTGTCCAATTAAGATATATTTGGATTTATGTAGAAACGAAAAAAACCCCAGTATCTAGACCCTTAAATCAGGCATATCTAACAAGTCTTCAGAAACCTGTATTGTGTAATCTATTCCTCTATTTATTAAATTGCCATTATATAAACCATTAACCGGCGCTGTACTGCCAATATGTCTATCTGGAAAAGTGTGGTACTCACAATCAAGCTTCTTTTTATTTCAAGCTTTTCATTCCCACCTTTGCTAAGGAAAGATACACTTGTTTCTGATGAGCAATAAATTACTTTGAATCTGTAGATTTTAAGAAATGTCAAGTAGCTGCACACAAACTACCCTTAAAAGTTCTGAAGTGGAGAAGAGGCATTCTTAAGAAAAAAATGAAGATATTTTTATTTTCAAAATTCATTTGGACTTGTATCTTGATAATATTGAGCTGGTGACTGTGTGGAAAATTTCTATTTTCTCATATTATAAGCACCAAAATAATATGGGCAGAAGTTTTTAATAAGAAATTTCACAGTCCAATATGTCACCCTTGGAAAATGTTTTCCAATTCCTTGGTGCAGACAAAATTGTTCTTTTGTTTTTTATGGAACTTGATTCAATCACAAATGTAAAAATTACTGTGTGTACTGTGTGTTTTAATATTTCAATTTCTTATTATTGACAAGTTTCCAACTCCTATGTTACAATTTCTTGAGAGCAGGTACTTTTTTTTTTTTTTACATTGCAGATACTTAACATTGTTTGACACCTTAAGTGCTGAGCAATTGCTTTTTGAGTAAAGCGTGTACTCCTTAGAATTGGTCCTACTAAGTGTTAGAATTGGTCCTCCAGCTTCTTCTGGAGCCACCTTTCAGATCTACACTAGAAAGTGTATCTTGCATTTAAATTTTTTCTATATTCTTTCTTCATCCCATGCAAGAGTGATTTTTCTTTTGTGATACTTGTGCAACATGACACACCTATATCATAGCCTGTGATCCACTAAATTAATTATTTACAAGCCTATTTACATACTATAAGCCTATAACCCAATGGAGACACAAGCTGATTTATATATGTCCATAATAATTAGTAGTTTATAAGTAAATCAATGAATACATAAAGTAATAAAATCATCTTGGATTTTATATATTTATCACTCAAAACAATCTCTCAAATAATGTTAATTACCAATAATCTCCCCACCCATCCATCCATCTATCTGCTTTTCTATTATTTCTGAAACATGAAATAAATATACTTGAAGTTCTATTAGAAACTGTAGAAATCACTATAACCCTGAAGACTGTACGAACTGCC